ACAAGATTATATTTTTAATCGAATTAAAAAGGCAAAATGGTATAGTACATTAGATGCTAAATCAAGATATTGGCAGTTAAGGTTACATGAAAAAACTAAACCTCTAACAGCATTTAGTTGTCCACCGCAAAACCACTATGAATATAATTTAATGCCGTTTGGACTTAAACAAGCACCAAGCATATATCAACGATTTATGGATAATAATCTTAAAGGATTAGAATCAATAAGTCTTGCTTATATAGATGATATAATTGTTTTCACGCAAGGATCACGAGAAGAGCATTTAAAAGATCTTTCAAAAATCTTGATACAATTAGGAAATAAAGGGATTATTTTGAGTAAAGAAAAAGCAAAAATTTGCAAAACAGAAACAAAATTTTTGGGAATGAAAATAATTGAAGGAGGATATATAGAACCACAAAAACATTTACTTGAAAAAATACATCAATTTCCAGACCAACTGAAAAATAGAAAGCAAATTCAAAATTTCTTGGATGTTTAACATATATTGGAGAAAAAGGTTTTATAAAAAGTCTTGCAAAGGAAAGAGAATTGTTACAAAAAATGATTTCTGAAAAAGTACCATGGAAATGGACAGATAATGCAACTAAAGCCATACAAGCTTTAAAAGGCTTATGTACTCATTTACCACGACTCTATTTACCAAAGCCAAATGATTTACTCATTTTAAATACTGATGCAAGTCAGGACACTTGGGGAGCAATTCTCCAAGCAATTCCAGATGCTTATGAAGATTTTAAACAGTTTGTTATAAATAATAAACCATCCGAAGTAAAAATATTTTTACGACAGAAACTTAAAAATAGTGGTAGCAAATGTTTGCTATCTAAATGGATTTCAGGAACATTCAAACAAGCTGAACGAAATTATACAACCCACGAAAAAGAAACATTGGCATTTGTAAATTCTTTAGAAAAATTTAAATTAGATTTACAACCAGTAAAATTTATTTGCCAAACAGACATCCTTTATACAAAAGATTTTACTAAATATAAACTAAAAGAGTCATACAACAAAGGAAGATTATTACGATGGAGTTTCAAGGCACAACAATTTGATTATGTTTCTTTATATATTTCTACTCATGAAAATTTTCTTGCAGATACATTAACAAGAGAATGGAAGTAATAAGACCATTACTAATGGAAAGCATGAAAAATTTAGAAAAGCAAGCAGAAGGATTACGAAAGCAACTCGCAAAAATCGAAAATGAAGTAAAAGCAATAAGAACAGTCTTATTTCCCGAAGAAATTCAGGGTGAAAAGATTGAAAGCAATAAGAAAGAAGAATCCGAGGGATCTTCTAAGCAAATAGACAAAGAAGAAAGACCAAAAATACACTATGTCATCTTTACAGGTGAACATAAAGGAATTTATACACAATGGGCTGAAGTTGCAGTCCATACAGTAGGCAATAAGAACATTATATATCAGAAATTCTCGAGTCTTTTTGAAGCTCAACAAGCTTTGGAAAAATTCCAGAATACGTATGCAGAAAAAGCAAAAATGCTAGCTAAAGCAGCAAGTAAGCAATTACCAGTAATTGGTAAAATTCCTACACTTAGACCAATGACAATCGACAACATTAAGACAAAACAGCAAAAAGAAGAAATTACAAATCTCACACGAGAAAAGTTTAACGATGAATTCAAGTTCATTGTTAATTACACTGAGATTGATAAACAGACAAGTATTTATCCCATTGATGGAGTATACCTAGGTCCGAAGGTGGTAGTATTACCAGAAGCAAATCCAATGAAAGTATATATGTTATTCCAATCAGGTCTAATAAGTTGCATCTATTTCAAGGGAACCGACACATTTCAGTACTTTCCGATTAAGATCAGAGAAGTTATAAGCCAGTATATATCCAGAATACTAAGAAAAAAAGGAAGGATTTCTAAAAATCTTTGCCACAACTCCGATTTTCACAGGGGNCAGAGGGGGGAGAAATTATGCAACCAGCACTACAACTTTGCCAACTTAGAGTAAGTAATACAAATTACCCAAATATAGGAAAAGCATATCATGAGGATGAGACAAATCAGTTTCTTAATAACTATGTCATAATACTCAAGAAAGGTATCTGGCTCAAAGGGCGAATTAATTATGCGGCCAAATCAGTAGTCATTTGGAGTATGCAGTCAAGAGATCCATCAGTAAAAGACAGACAGACATTAAACAAATATCTAGATGATGTTATGCAAATTCGGTATGAATTCCCTACACAGCTAAAAAAGAATATTTGCATTCGACTACAAAAAGAATTTACAGAAGATCACATTTGTAGAGAATGCAACACAAAAGCAATTGAAGAAATGCTGCCAGTGGAAGAAGAAGAAGATACAATAATTGAAGAATGAAGACGTAAGTGCATACGTCATGAAAATGTAAACAGAATGTAATAAATCTGTATTGGGTCCCACAATAGATAAGGGACGCGTCTTTTTGTGGTCCATTTGAACCACTTTCTCTTTACTTTTTAAGAGTGGAGAATGGCATCTTGCACGATGTCCACCACCTTTTTGACTTTTATAGTGGAGAATGGCATCTTGCATGATGACCACCACTTTTTGACAAAAACAATGGCCTAACCTTATCACTTAATGCGGTATGGTTTTAGACCATTGATCTTGTCGGCTAATCTTAGCCATCTATCCTTAGCAACTCCGTGTATATAAGGAGTCGAGTATACCATTCATAGGGTGTGCTCAATTCAAGTTTGTATGAAGTTCGAGTCTGTAAAATATTTTCTGAAATAAAATATGTGTGTTTCAAAAAGAATGAGCAGTTAAATAATTAACAAAAGTAAAGCAAAATAGAAGAGTGAAATAATATACTAAACATTTTCTCAAAGAGTTTCCTGGAGCACTGAAGAGCTGGAGATCGAAGGTGTTGAATGCCAGAAAGATCAAACCCCAGTTGTGTTGGAAACAAGGAGAAAATCAGAAGTATATTCTTATCATTCTATATTTTTTCATGTATAATATGCCATATAGAGAAATATATAAGGATATAAATTGTCTCAAATCAGTAATAAAACAAATTGTTTCATTAACAAAAATGTTAAAAGAAAATGAACAAATGATATTCGACCTAGTATATACCTAAGGAACATTCAGTAGAAGATGAAGTTCATTTCTGAATATGCGATAATATTACTTCTTCAATTATCAAGATTAAAGAGTTAATAAAGAAAGCTGAATACCAAGCATCTAGTGTAAGTGTTCAAATAAGATTAAGAATTCTAAATATAAGATAATAAAAGATAAATAATGGACAACGAATATCATGTTATAGAAAACATAGAAGAACAAGGAATTTATTTATCAGATATATTATTAGATAAGAAGGTAGTAACAAAAGTAAAAAATAAAGGAAATTAGATTTAGAAAAGAAAGAAGGAATAATAATAGTATATTAGAAAAATTAAATAGAAAAAACATAATACATTATGGAATAATGAATGGAGAACAACCGATTAGAATAGAACAAGCAAATTATAATTTTCAAGCACCCTTAGTTGAAATAAATCAAATAGAAAAGAGATTAGAAAAAATAAAAGAAGAAGATAGGAAAAAGATAAGTTATATACACATAAACACAGTACAAATAGTATTGCGATAAACATTTAGAGAAGGACTAAAAACACCCGTAAATATAAAAGTTGAAGATAATAGAATCATGCATAAGGAATCAAGAAAGCTAGGAGAAATAGAAGGAGATTTAGGGTACGGAATAATTAAATTCAACATATCATTACAATTCCCTATACCCTTATCAATCAAGAAAATTAATAACTGCATACGAATAATATGTAATTTTCAAGAAAAAACATTAATGGAATCAGGAGATATACCTATGGTTGTCTGTTATAGAATAACATATGCATTAAGTAATAGTAGTTTAAGTATGAATTATCAAAATAAAGAAAGAATATATACAGTAAAAATATTCAATGAAACCAGTACAATTATTAAAAATGATAGAATTCAAAAGGAATTCTTAAGGGAACATAGTAGACGATCATTTAGTAATCCTACAAATTTAGGAAAACTAACTGAAAATAATTTATTAAAAATTCAAGAAATTGAAGAACCTCATAGTAGCAATAGTTTATATAAAGGGGATATAGAAATAGAAAAATTAAATAAACAGGTAAATGAGTTAAGCTCATTAGTAATAAATTTAAATAATAAAATATAAATTGTAGTAATGGATAAAAGAGATATAAATCTTGAATTAGATGAATTAAAACGAAGGAAAATCAAAGAAGTAGATTATTTAATAGAAAAATCCATTCAATATGCATATATAAACAAGGATGAACAAAAATTAAAACAGCTAGAATATGATATACAAAAATATAAGAAAAAATTTAAAAAATTACATAAAATAGGACCACCTAAAACAATAATATAAATGGCTTCAAAGAAAGGAGTTTATAAGATTAGACCTGAAAAAATATCGAAAAGAAAAACAAGTTTTTCAGATACACAAAGATTAAAAGAATTTCTTTCTAATTGTAGAATTCAGTTAGATGGCGAATTTAAATATTCTGAAAAGAAAAGTATTGTTAGAAATAACTTTACTAGATTAATAGATTTCTTAAACAAAGGTATCAAAAAACATATGGAAGAACATAAATAAGAACCTGATACTAATCAGCTTATTCTTGAAAAACTAGAAAAAATAGAAAATAAAATAAAAACTTTAGAAGAAAAAGATACTACTGTATCTTTCAGAGATTGAATTAATTTATAATACAAATAATAATTTTTAAAGTATTTAAAAATGTTAATATACAAAGTATACAAGGTAAAAATATGAAACACAAGTATGAAGTATAAATTATATATCGTAATTTAAAATGAAGTAAAAAAAAGTGATATCAGAGCAAGGCAACGATTTAAAATGAGTATCAGAAAAATATATTTTGATATAGAATGGGAAATACAAAATATCAAAACAGATATAATAAGATATGCTTATTTACACGATATTACAAGTGAGGAATTTTATTATGACATGATAATAATATGTGAAAAACAAATAAAAAGATTAAGAAATCTACAAACGCAAGTAGCCGTTGCATAACATGGTATATAAAAAACACTACATCCACACCAACCAAATACTACATAAAGGCAGCTGGTTTTCTATTATGAAACCAGTGGATGGTTTCTTAGCAATTCTCTGGAAAGCTAAGATCAATGACAAACTAATGTTACATTGCACCAATAACTCACTCAGATTAATTAGCTTGAGTCTTATTTCCCACAGCTATTTATCAGCAACAGCCTTCTGCCAGAGCAAGATCGGTTCAGGTTTGCTCAAAACAAAGAAGAAACTAAAAAGCTTTATTCCAACCACTAATGGCCCAGCTTGCGCTTCTTAGCCAACCTCCTCCTTCTTTCCTCTTCCTCAAGCCGGAGCTCTCGTTCGTCCTCTTCTCGACCGATTTTTGCACTGGGCAGTTCACACACAGTAGGTCAACAATATGAATTTACTAACTAAGATTTTGCAGAAGTCGAGCAAAATATTCACCCATACCAGGGTAATACAGATCATTTGAATGGAACACATTTGCTCAATAGATTGTATAGTTGAACAGACATTCGATATAAATAAGGAAATAATTGCACCGTTTGCACGTACACCTACCCAGGCATATATAAACCAAGAGATGAAATCCAGTGTCTACCAGTGAACCAATTATTGGTACAAACCAATAACTTCCACCAACTATATCATTCAGAAATGCTTAAAATTCCGAATGAACCATATAGTGATTTCATACTCTACAGGAGAACGTGATAAGTGGCGAAAACAAGAGCAGGTATAATCATAATTTCAGATTCTACTTCTTGTCCTAAACTGTGCTTTAGAATGAAGGACGAATTTCCGGAACAGAATGAGTGAACACAACATGTCCTCACATTATTCAGATATAAAAAGCAGAACCATACAGAAAATAGAAAATGTTAGTTCAACACAATACAGCTGAGCTCGCTGACCTGCGTTTCTCCTCCCTTACAATATCTTCAAAATTGGCCTCCATGTCCCTATCATCATCGTCATCGCTGAAATTGTTTGGATTATACCTACAGAGCAATAAATGGTGAGAATGAATAAAGTATCTGAGAGTAGACCACGGACCAGATGTCCTTTTTTTTCCCCTCATTACGAATAGGATCAATAAAAAAGTGTATTTACAGGAAAAATGAAATCCAAAAACAGACAAGGTAACAATGGTACCTAAACATTGATCTGATCATACTACTAATAGCAGATGGATCATCAACTTCATCGTCGAGCGGCCTCTTATGTTTTGCCTTAGGCCTTTCATCTGCTAAACGATGACTAGCAGGCGCCTTTGGAGGTGGTCGTCTCAACTGCCAAAACCATAAATAATTTAAGTTGTGGAAAAAAAAAAAGTAAAAATTAAAGAGTGAATACTACACTGCCTCACACCTGATCTCTAGAGGAGGAAGAGACTGCTTGCTTCGTTATCACCTTCGGCTTGCTAGATCCTAGAGATTCCTTTTGCTGTACAGATGGTTTTTTCACAACTGACGAAGGTTGTGCCCGTGGGGGAGCCAATTTATGAATCCCAGACTGCATATTCGAAGGCATCGGTTTACGAATGGCAGATTGCACCGAAGAAGGTGCTGGCCTACGCACACCACCAGCCATTGTATATTTTGCAGTAGCTGGGGTGGCCTTGCTAGTGCTGATAGGCGCAGAGCTAGAAGACATGCTTTTGGGCCCAACGGGCCGACCAGGCCCACTCCCATTATTGCTCCCTAGCTGTTTCCTAGGATCCATCGCCGGCTTAATAGGGATTTTCGTCTTCTCCTGCACTACTTTAGGTTTGTTTTGAATGCTCGAAGGCATTGGCCTCCTTACGTTACGATCATTTGAGGTGGGTTCTCGACCACGTTCATTTGCCACCTGTTTGTTGCTCCTGTTAGGCTGCTGTTGGGCCGACCGTGCATCTTCAAGTGCACCAAAATCCCTGTATAAGTTCCCTTAAGAAGAAATAAAATTGCTATGTGCTTTTGAAACAGGCGAACCAGAGAGTATAGAGGAGCTGTTGCACACCAGTCTTTGGGGCTGATACGGTTTTTGGGGGAAGACTTTTCGAGGCTGCTGGAATCTCGGAGTCTTCGGATAATAGAAAAGAGTAGTCCCTTGTGTTTTTAAGAATTTCAACTTTTTTCTTTAACTGCAACAATTATTAAGGCAAACGAAGACGTATGAGAAAGAGAAATTAACAGACACCAGTTGCGAGTTGTGTGAGTCAACAGTCGTTACCCCATTTGTGACTCTTGGCAGATGATTGTCCCGAGATTTTGACGAGACTGATTTTGCAACGGAGCTCTTGTTCTGCATAACCTATAACAATCCAACTTAGAATTAAGATAATGATTCAGTTTTCAATGAAGCACAACCATGTAAATTGGGGACAAATTAAGAGCTCCAAGCACTATCATGATTAGCAGTAAATACAATGTAATGGTCTTACTTCAAGAATTGAAGTCATTTTATGAGAAGCAACTTTAACAAATATGCACCAAATGCACATAGGTAGTTACAATAAGTCAATAACACCATATATAGGTTTATATATGCCAAGACAATTCTAAGCTACGCTGATAATCTCAACAAAGCTCTCGTATACCACAAGTGATCAAAGGAGGTGACCATCAATTCCAGAAATAAGAAAGAGAATGAGTATTCACTTACAGCACGATTAGATTTCATAATCTTTGCTGCCAAATCTGGATTCTCTAACAAGGACTTGCTTTCTTGAATCACTCTCTGAGAAATTGAAGGGTATCGAGGCCCAAAGAAGGTGCCATAACTAGAAAGATGAGATGTAAGAAAATATCAGGATCAGACTAAAACAACCCCAAAGAGATATTACTAATGAAGCAATTTTAGCCCTCTGGCCTAGCCTAGCCTAAGAAGCAAATATATTAAAACTTACAATTGTTTCCTTGGACGAAAAAACAAAGTTTAGCTTGTCGAGATTATAACCATTGTGCTAGAAATTACAACTTCCTAAATCCATCCATTTTTTCAACAACAAAACCATATTTTAGAGTATAAGGAGATAGGGCTATAAAAGGAAAAAGATGAATTTGAAGCTTCATTGCAAAATTGGGCCAGAGATCCAGGCACTATTAAACAATTCCATGGAATGCAGCGAAACTAAAGAAAAATGTGATTTGCCCAACATAAAAGAAACATAGACTTATTACAATCTTTCCAAGCAATTAAACGCTTACTTGTCTTTGCTAAACCCATTGATTCTGTTCCGGGAGCCTGCATCTGCAGTTCCCAATTCCTTCTTCATCTGGTTCCTGATTGACTCTTTTAACTTTTGTCTCAGTTCAAGATAGTCAAGCTCCTCCTGAGTGGGCTGGTAAGTTTCTTCTTCATATTCATCTTCACCGACTTCTTCCTGTACTCGCTCATCACCATCCTCCTCGTACTCGTCCCAGTCTTCATATTCCTACATTAACAAAAACACCAATTAATGGAAGTACATAAATTGATATCCAAAGCAGAGTTGATAAAAAAAGTTAAGTAAAAGGGACTTGTATGGTTTCTTACGTCTCTTTCATAATCTCCCATTGTGCTTTAAGCTGCGGAACTATGGGTTGATTGCTGTCACAACACGTGAATCAAAATACTGTGCAAAAAATTGAATTAACAACAAATTGAAAAATTTTCATTGAAATAGACAAATGGAGATAAAAAAGAATGGTCTAGAATCTAGATGTAAGAATGTTATGCCAGCATATCTACAACACCAAATTAAATATTAAGTATTCAAAAAAAAAAAAAAGATCAAAATGCAAAAGTTCATTCAGGAATTGGTATTTATCACCATCACTGAATATTCCTTTATTCCTTTCAAAGTGCTAGGGCGGTGTCATATACCCGGCCGCCGGCGACGAAAAAGGAATGATTTTGGATGCCGGAGATGAAAAAGATACGGCCTTTGAGGATAAAGTAGCTAATTTGGGCAAAGAAGAGCAAATCTCGATCAAAAAAGGAGGAAACTTTGTGAAAGACGATGAGAGTTCTAAGGAAAAAGGGGCGATTGGATCTGAAGTGAAGGGATTAGGGTTGGACGTGAAGTTCGAAGAAGAAGACTCGAAAATGAATGAAGTTGGGCTTCATGAGAACTATTAGTGGGCTTTTCGTTAGTTATTAGTATTGGGCTAGTCTATAAACTAAATATGCTGTTTAGAAATGTTTGGGCTGATGTGTTTAAGCCTATTTTCTCAGTATTTGTTTGTTAGCTCGTGGGACCCGCTTGTGGGGTAAAAATAGTGGAGAATGAACGGCAATTGTCAGATTTTGGCATAACAAAAAATCCCTTTCTCTCTCTTATTTCTCTCTCTTCCTCCTATCTTCTTCTTCCCAACTTTCTACTTCATTTCTCTAAATTTACAGAAAATTCAAAAACACAAAAATATAGAAATTAAGTGCACGAGCCTAACAATTGGTATCATCTTTCCACGATCCTGGCCATGGCAGAAGGTACGCGTCTTAAAGACCTGGAGGAAACACAAAAAAGGTTAGAGCAATTCATGCAAACAGAAAACCTGAAACGTGAAGCAACAGAAATGAAATTTCCGGACCAGTTCACACAGTTAGGCTCTGAAATCAAAGCTGTTAGCGGGGATATGCAATCTCACATCCAAGGTATGAATGGCAAGTTCGATCATCTCACAAATACCCTTGCTGCTCTGCAACTGCAATTACTCAACATGGATAGGAGCAAGAACCATGGTGAGGAATCCATATTTGGTCCCTTTCAAGAGGGGCCCTCAGGGCAGCCTTTGAAACAAAAGACCCAGTTCGAACACTCTCAGCAAAACCAGCACCCTCACATTATTAGCCCTCTACCCAAAATCGATTTTCCCCATTTTGATGGCACCAACCCTAGATGATTTTTTTTGGCCCACTATTTAATTTTACTTGTTGAAAGCTTTTCAATTTCTCTCTCTGCTGTTACCAAACCTGTAGGTACACCTCTGGGTCGTTTGGCGGACAAAATGGACATAATTCTTAAAGAAAATTGAAATTCCTTATGGAACCTTAGATATTATTGCCTTGGATGCCATCCTATTCCATGTCTGAAATATTTTTTTGTAGTTGTCTTCTGATGCACTTCTTTAATTTATTCTAAAGCAAATATTATATTACTTAATTGCTGCCATTTCAGGATCACTCGAGTGTATGTGCAAATGATCAGATTCAGTGGTTGACAAGGATTTTAAAAGAAAGCGATAGTGAGTGGTAAATCTTTCGATGCTAATATGGTTGTTTCCTTCTCTCTGTTCTTGACACTGCATAATGCAACTTACATCACTTTGCAAGTGACCAACAGAAAAAAATTGTTGTACTGGCATTGACTATGGAATACAAGCCATTGAATTCTATTTGAGCGCCAAATTTGTAGCTTTGCTACCTTTCTTATGTTTAGAACCAAAAAGTTAATAAAGAATTAAATTAATCTATTTAGAAATAGCCCCGTTATTAGTTTAGATTAACATCCAATCTAGTTTATTATCTAAATATTGGTATAACATGTCTTTCTACTCATTCCTCTCGTGCTAAACTCTCTCCATATCTTTATATGTCTCTCATGCGATTTTACACAAACACACACACACACAAGCACGCACACACAAAAAAAAAAAAAAAAAAATTGAACGGGAGCTAATTGCTGGGAGCTAACAGTCACCCAAATGTTTGTGTGATGAGCTTTAAGCCGTGTGTTTAGCTTCAATTTGTGGAGTTAATTGCTGGTCTTTTTGGTGACTGTTAGCTTGCTGAAACTGTATAATTTCATAAGTTACATTTCAGTTTTAAGGCCTTATGACTTGTGGTTTGAGCATGAGAAAAAGAAAAGTGAAATATTATGATGGTTTATGTCTTATGTCATTATCATATTATCTGCTAATTATTCACTTATATTGTCTTATATCTCGATGCAGTCTTTGGCGCTGGCTCATGTTAATATTGATCATGGGAAGGTGGTGTTTGTCCTGTGGGTCAAAATAGATTTCAGAACTAGTGACAACCCATGGTGGCTGTAGAACTCTTGAATTTTAATCTGATAGTTTGTTGTATATTCACATCGACGTTATCTATCATGAAAAATCTGTTGTTATAGACAATTCAAAATATAGTCCTGCTGTTAACACACTTTTATGAAAAATCAAGTCAACACACTTTTATGAAAAATCTGTTGTTATAGACAATTCAAAATATAGACAATACACTTTTATGTATATCAAAATCAAGTTTTGCCTAAATTAATGTACATAATCATTTTTTTTAAGAAAAACTGAAGATGGAACAATAGTGTGTGCTTGTGTTATTTGTTTTGTTTTAGTTCTGCTTTCTTGTTGCCTCCTCATGTTAAACACTGAACTTGTTTATCATATCGTGCAGTTAATGAGGCAAGCTCAGAAGCTCGAGTATCAGGTCGAGATTGGCTCGACTGGTTTAATGATCGTTGCATCGATGTATCTACAATTTTGTTACATTGTTTGCTTACACGGACACTGGTGACGATTATCTGTATATTGTGAGTTGAGGTTTATATATCATTAAAATTTGGAAAAAAAAAATATCATACAAATATATATAAGATTTTGTAAGGTCAGTGAGAGGAAGCCACAAACACGTATCGTGGTCATCAAGAAGTGAAATCGATACTCACGCGTGCGTTTATCTCCACAAACAATATCATGAACTATATTTAAAAAGTCTTCATACGACAAACTCCACAAACGCATAAAGTTCATCTTTGCCTGTCCATTTTTATAGACATTCTCATCCCAAAATCCACTATGCACAATTCCAACTTTTTCACACGACATCTATAAAAAAAGATACAAGAGTATTTTAGTGACAAACAATGTCAAAAAAGCATGTCTTATATATGATTCAATGTCTTATATAATAAAACAAATAAAATTTGAATCAGAATCGAATTTTGGGATCGATTTCTTGTACCAGATATCATGGATCTAAAAATAATTCCAAAAATTATTTTTGGGATTTCAGGGGTCCAGAAATCTTTTTTGGGATTTCCTGCATTTCTGGGGTCCAGAAGTTGATTTATGGTCCCAGAAATCGGGATTTCTGGACCCCAGAAATCGATTTCAAGAACCAGAAATCAGAAACCATTTCTGGGATCGAAAATCGATTTCTGGTTCCATAAATCGATTTCTTGAACCAGAAATCATTTCTTGTATTTCTGGGATTTCTGGGACTCACAGAAATCGATTTTCGGTCCCAGAAATCATTTCTTGCATTTTTGGAATTTCTGGGACCAGAAACCATTTCTGAGATCGGAAATCGATTTCTGGTCCCAGAAATCGATTTTTGGAACTAGAAATCATTTATTGGATTTCTTGGATTTCTGTGACCAGAAATCAATTTCTGGGACCAGAAATCGTTTTTGTTATTATTTTTTTTTTTTGGAAAAAATAGGTAGTAAGGATATTTTTGTCATTTCAGGTGCCAAAATGGCTAAAAAGAGTGTTTTTTTCAAAATATGGCTAAAATTTGTGTTAGCCATTTGTATATGGCTAAAAAAAAAATTCACTGCAAGAAAAATGTCAGTCCTTTGCCACTCTGAACCAGAAGACCTCATCGATTTTCTAGTACACAAGGGCAATGGAGTTAAGGGCCTCTCTCAATCCTCAAGCAAATCCCAGGCCAATTCATACAGCCGCCTGACCAAAGACTAAGCCATATCCAAGTCTCGACCCAGAAATCCATACCCACAATCGACGTCTCCCAATGGGCCGACACCAAGACCGCTCAATCAATCTGCGAGGCCGCAAGAACTTGGGGTTTTTTTCAGATCGTCATGTAATAATATTTTATATATTATTCTATTATTGTGGACCATATAAATTAATTGGACCTAATTGAATTAATAGTCAAACTTAATTACGGTGAATATGTATTTAATAGATTATTTAATGTTCTAATATTAAAGAGTCCAATTTGTGATGTTTGACTTGGACAGTAAGTTAGGTTAGAACATGGGGAATGTTAGTGGGATTAGGATTGTAAGTCTCATCTTCCTATATATACTACATGCCCCTCTCTCCCATCTCATACGCAAATAAAGTTCTCAACATCAAGGGCTTTGTGAAAAGACGAGAGAAGCGGGAGAGAGAAACATAATCCTCGATCGTCCAGACATACAAGAACAGGGAAGGAGTAATGGATTCTTGTAAGTTTCTATGTGCAATTTAATTTATGCAAAAGATCCATGTTCTATGAATCGATAGAATTACATGTTTAGGGTTTATTCAATTCCGCTTAATTGTTATGAATATACCCGTTAAATTTCTTACATGTGGTATCAGAGAATGTGTTTATGCATATGATTAAATTGCCGATCACAGTTTTTACATCTCGTGTCGTATTTAAGGTTGCAAATTATTGTTGGGAATTATTTGTGTGACTGCCGAATTAAAATTGCAGTTATTTGTGTCTGCTTAATTCTTATTGCGAATTGGTGATAGGAATTGTTTGTGTGAATTAGAAACTATCAATGAATTGTTATTGCTGTTTCGTGATCACAACTTAATTGACGCATTGAAAGTTGATAAATGTGTGCACGTGAGTATCGGTGTTGTGTTTGGATTCCTGTAATATTGCAATTTTCCATGAACCATGATAGAACTATATTATAGCAATTTAGTTAATTGATTAGTTCTTAAAGGCTTTTATTAGTTCTGTTTCAAAATTTTATATGAACTATATTAGAGTTGGCTCCTGCCTTGATCGAGATTAATTATGATTATATAGAAATCATATGAAGATGTTCTTTGAATAATTCTATTGTGTCATTGCCGCAAATATATCGGATTCTTCATGGAATTATTTGTTGATTTGCCGCAAGTTTGTTTTTTCTGTACATGTGTGATGACATTATTTCATTGGCAAGGATTTCACATATGCGGCTTTATTTCAATATTACTGATCATGTAATATTAAGGCTGATGAATATTTTAGTCCTATAACTGTAGTTCATCTTATTCTTAGTTGATGTGGACTGTAGAGATTTGTTATAGTTTTTATAATCTCATAAAATATAATTAAAATAAAATATTATCTAATTATATTATCTATGTAAGAAACTAGTTAGTCACCAAAGTGGCCTAGTTTAATTTATGGAATAGATAATTAAATTAGATAAAAATATCAATTATTCAAATATAAGACGATGTCTTATTAATGTACCCTAATATTGTAATATTTGAATGATTGATGTTATAGATTATAAACTAGGAGGACACCCAAAGGTGGGCCATGGTTTGTAATATATGACAATAAAAGGAAAATTATATTAAAGTTAGGTTAATTAGTGTGTTTGTCCAAAGATAACCACTAGTTGATCACAATTCTTGTAATTTCTATTAAAGATTATTTTCTCTTAGACATCAATTAAATACATTATATATTTAAGTATTGCCCAAAGGTTATTTAAATATATAATCTTAAATATTTCCGAATCCATAAAATTTTATCAAAGCATAATCTAATAGCATGTATTAAATTTTGCAGCACTTAATTCCGGTTTTCCGTCAGGCATTGTGGTTGAAAAATTCAATGGAATGAACTTCACTGAATGGTCTGAGCACATCCATTTTCAGTTAGGTGCTATGAATTTGGATATGGCTCTAGTTAGTGATGAAGTACCCGTAACCATTACTGATGAAAGCTCCGAAGAAGAGGTATCTCTTCGTATAGCTTGAGAGCGATCAAATAGGTTGTGCTTGAATTTTATGAAACTAACCATGGCGGATAACATTAAAGCTTCAATGCCAAAGGCTGACAATGCGAAAGAATTCCTAGGAAAGATTAAGGAACTATCTCAATCTGAAATTGCGGACAAGTCAATTGTGGGGAAGCTTATGGGCGAACTCACCACTATAAAGTTTGACTGGTCCCGCTCCATCCATGATCACGTAACCCACATGTCCAACATATCAGCTAAACTATCAAACATGGGAATGGAGGTGACCGACTCATTTCTGGTTCAATCCATCATGAACTCCCTACCTGCCGAGTTTGGCCAGTTCCAGGTGAACTACAACACCATTAAAGAAAAGTGGGACTATAAAGAAATTAGGGCCATGCTTGTGCAAGAAGAGGCGAGAATAAAGAAGGTGAAAGAGGAGTCGATTCACTTTGTATCTCATGTGGGAGCCAGCAAGAGCAAGATGAAGATGGGAAACAAAGGCAAAGGAAAGGAGGTTGGTCCACTCAAAGTTTCTGGAGGACCAATCATTAAAGAGTTGAGGTGCTTTTTCTGTAAAAAGTTAGGCCATCTCAAGAAAGATTGCCCGAAAAGGAAAACTTGGTTCGAAAAGAAAGGTATGCATTATGTTTCTGTATGCTTTGAATCAAATTTATTAGAAGTTCCCAATAATACTTGGTGGCTTGATTCTGGTGCAACTACTCATGTATCCCATATTTTGCAGGGATTCAGTTCGATCCAAATCATAAAGGAAAGTGAGCAATACTTATTCATGGGAAACAGGATGAAGGCACGAATAGAAGGCATAGGGACGTATAGATTGATCTTGAGCACTGGTTGTAATATAGATCTTGAAAGATGTCTTTATGTACCTGAATGTGCTCGCAATCTTGTTTCATTAAGTAGATTGGATCTTTTAGGTTATTTCTTTAATTTCGGTAATGCTTCTTTTTCATTGTACAAGAACAAATTATTTTGTGGCAATGGAAATTTGATTGATTCGCTTTACCGTTTTGAATTGCATAAAGAATTTTCTGAATCCTTGTTTAATGTTCAAAGTGTTCTTGGGATCAAACGTAGTGCATATAATGAAAATTCTGCTCTATTATGGCATCAAAGATTAGGTCATATATCCAAAGAAAGGTTATTAAGGATGGTGAAAAATGAAATCATCCCTCACTTGGATTTTAGTGATCTAAATGTATGTGTAGAATGCATTAAAGGAAAGCAAACTAAGCATATATTAAAGAAATCAGCCACTAGAAGCACTCAACTCTTAGAACTTATTCACACTGATATTTGTGGTCCATTCGACGTTCCTTCATGGGGCGGTGAAAAGTATTTTATCACCTTTACAGATGACTTCTCACGTTATGGTTATATCTATCTACTGCATGAAAAGACTCAATCATTGGAATATCTAAAGATATACATTGATGAGGTGGAAAGGCAGTTAGATAGAAAAGTGAAAGTTGTGAGATCTGATCGTGGGGGTGAATATTATGGTAGGTTCAATGAAAGAGGACAATGTCCTGGTCCATTTGCAAAGTTTCTCGAGAGTCGAGGCATTTGTGCACAATACACTATGCCTGGGACTCCTCAACAGAACGGTGTTGCTGAGAGGAGAAACCGTACTTTAATGGATATGGTTAGGAGTATGTTGAGTAATTCAACATTACCGTCATCTATGTGGATGCATGCATTAAAGACTGCTGCATATTTGCTAAACAGAGTTCCTAGTAAGGCAGTTCCTAAGACACCTTATGAACTGTGGACGGGTAGGAAACCTAGTTTGAGGCATCTCCATGTTTGGGGGTGTCAAGCAGAAGTAAGGTTATATAATCCACATGAAAAGAAACTTGATCCTAGGACAGTCAGTGGTTTTTTCATTGGCTATCCGGAAAAGTCTAAAGGATATAGGTTCTACTGTCCTAACCATAGTACGAGAATAGTTGATTCCGGCAATGCTCGGTTCATTGAAAATGATCAAATTAGTGGGAGTTTGGAACCGCGAAGTGTGGATGTCAATGAAACTCGGGTTGAATTGTCCAAGCCCGAGAGTCCATCAACGGTTGTTATTCCTCTAGTCGCAGTACCGTCACGCAACTTAGATGAACAACAGAATGATCCAAACTCATTTGATAATGAACCGGTCACAAGCAATCAAGAGATTATAGAACAACCTGTGGTAGATGCATCACAAGTTTCCAATGATCCACATAATGAAGTGATAGTGAGACGGTCGATAAGGGAAAAACGACCTGCTATCTCTGATGACTATGTGGTTTATTCTCTTGAGAGTGAATGTGACTTGAGCATGGATTTAGATCCAATGTCGTTTAAAGAAGCCATGGAAAGTGTAAATTCTGAAAAGTGGATCAATGCCATGAAAGAAGAATTAAAGTCAATGGATGACAATAAAGTCTGGAATTTAGTAGAATTACCTGAAGGGTCTAAGAGAGTCGGGTGTAAATGGGTTTTCAAAACCAAACGCGACTCTAAAGGTAATATCGAAAGATATAAAGCTAGACTTGTTGCTAAAGGATACACCCAAGAGGAAGGCATTGACTACAAGGAAACATTCTCTCCGGTTTCGAAGAAAGATTCCTTGAGAATTGTATTGGCAATGGTAGCTCATTATGACTTGGAGCTTCATCAAATGGACGTAAAGACTGCCTTCCTAAATGGAGAATTGGAAGAGGAAGTTTATATGAACCAACCAGATGGTTTTGAGATCACAGGAAAGGAAAATCTAGTGTGTAAGTTGAATAGATCGATATATGGACTAAAGCAAGCCTCTCGACAATGGTATCTCAAGTTCAATGATATCATCACTGCTTATGGTTTTGTAGAGAATACCGTGGATCGGTGTATCTACATTAAGGTCAGTGGGAGTAGGTTCGTTATTTTAGTTTTGTATGTTGATGATATATTGATAGCTGCTAATAATGTGGACATGTTGCACGAAGTAAAGCATTATCTCTCTAAAAAATTCGAAATGAAGGATATGGGTGAAGCGTCCTTTGTTATTGGAATAGAAATATTCCGGAATAGATCACAAGGACTTTTAGGTTTATCACAGAAAAGTTATATTTCGAAAGTTTTGAAGAGATATAAAATGGATGGTTGCTCTGCAGGAGTGGTTCCAATTCAGAAAGGGGACAAGTTTAGCCTTAAACAATGTCCGCAAAGTGAAATGGAACGAAAAGAGATGGAGATTATTCCTTATGCTTCTTTAGTTGGGAGTTTGATGTACGCACAGACCTGTACTAGGCCTGATATCAGTTTTGCCGTTGGTATGCTGGGAAGATACCAAAGTAATCCCGGACTTGATCATTGGAAGGCTGCGAAGAAAGTTCTTAGGTATTTACAAGGCACCAAAGAACACATGCTTACTTATAGGAGATCCGATTCGTTTGAAGTGATCGGATTCTCGGATTCGGACTACGCTGGATGTGTGGATAGTAGGAAATCAACATTCGGCTACTTGTTCCTAATGGCTGGAGGAGCAGTATCATGGAAAAGTGGAAAACAGTCCATCATTGCGACTTCCACGATGGAGGCTGAGTTTGTGGCATGCTTTGAGGCCACGATTCAGGGCTTATGGCTACGGAACTTTATCTCAGGACTTGGAAATGTCGACATCTTGTCCAAGCCGCTGAGTATTTATTGTGATAATTCCGCAGCAGTATTTTTCTCAAAGAACGACAAGTACTCAAAGGGTGCAAAACACATAGAGTTGAAATACTTGGTCGTAAAAGAAGAAGTGAAGAAACAAAATATGTCATTTGAGCACATTAGTACTGATTGCATGATAGCGGATCCATTAACTAAAGGGTTAGCCCCAATAGCCTTTGCAAGGCATGTAGAAAAAATGGGGTTAACGCATGGGGCCTTGTTGTATTGATACTAGTTTTTGTTGCTCAAATTATTTAGACATTTATTGAATTCAATTATAGATATTTTGTTCTTCACATATGACATCATCATTATAGATATTTGTTTTTTATAAGTATGTACATAAATGTTGGATGACTTATAGTTATGGTACGAATGGTTTGTCTCATATTAAAGTAAAGTTGAAGTAGAAATGATTTGTGGTACATGGAAGGGATCATGTCGCTCGAAGACTTGTGACCGCCATGACTCGGTTAATTTCTATTTTAATTTTAAACTTATAGATATATGTATTCAATTATAAGTTTGATGAAAGGTGCGCGCTTAAAGTAGTTCTTTGGGTTTCGATACTTATATGGTCCAAGTGGGAGAATGTAATAATATTTTATATATTATTCTATTATTGTGGACCATATAAATTAATTGGACCTAATTGAATTAATAGTCAAACTTAATTACGGTGAATATGTATTTAATAGATTATTTAATGTTCTAATATTAAAGAGTCCAATTTGTGATGTTTGACTTGGACAGTAAGTTAGGTTAGAACATGGGGAATGTTAGTGAGATTAGGATTGTAAGTCTCATCTTCCTATTGTGAAAAGACAAGAGAAGCGGGAGAGAGAAACATAATCCTCGATCGGCCAGACATACAAGAACAGGGAAGGAGTAATGGATTCTTGTAAGTTTCTATGTGCAATTTAATTTATGCAAAAGATCCATGTTCTATGAATTGATAGAATTACATGTTTAGGGTTTATTCAATTCCGCTTAATTGTTATGAATATACCCATTAAATTTCTTACACGTCAATCATGGGATCCCACCAGAACTTATGGAGAACGTGAAGAGGGCTTCTCACGATTTCTTCGGTCTGCCTGTGGAGGAGAGGAGGAAGTATCTCAAGGAAAATTCTCGCACTCAGAGTGTGATGCTGAAAACCAGCTTCAGTCCCTTGGCCGAGAAGGTTTTGGAGTGGAAAGATTATCTCGTTCATCTTGTAGTCCCGGAGATTGATGATGCGGATTTTGCGCTCTGGCCCAGTGTGACTAGGTACGTGCTTGTCGCCGTTTATGGGTTGGTTTTGCAGCTTGATAAGATTTGTTTGTATGTCTTGGTGGATGTATTTTCTGTATGTTGTACTTTTAGTTTCTGAATCAAGATGAAATGGCCCTAACCAGAACCTCAGTTTCAGTAGTATCAGAACATACAAATAAAGGATACTATCATACTTTAATCCCAGTTCAGTGAGGTTCTAGTTGATCTGATAAACAGGTATCATAAAAATGACTAATAAATACTCCCAGAATATTACAAATAGCCATTAAGGTTTTATAGTCTCTAGACGAAAAGTAATATTCAGGTTGTAACATTTAAAATTGAAGCACTCCCTTTTATTTAACCTTAATTGATAAAAGTTATTTCCAATGTGTTCCGGGTTCCTCCACAGGGGTCCAGTTTCCGAATACATAAACCGAGTAAAACCCATCATCCGGAAGCTTCTAGAGACATTGCTCAAAGGCATCAACATGACTCAAAAAATCTACGAGGCAAAAGAATCCGCCCTCATGGGCTCCCTCCTCACCACCCTTCTCCACTACCCAAAGTGCCCCAACCCTGAGCTTGTGGCCGGTGCCGGCCCGGCCCCCACTCTGACATCTCATCCCTAACCATACTCTTACAGGACAATATTGGCGGGCTCTACGTGCAACTATCCGGGCCCATCGAGGAGTGGGCCCACGTCACGCCAGTCGATGGCTCCCTCGTTGTGAACATTGGGAACGTGCTTGAGATAATGAGCAACGGGAGGTACAAGAGTGTTGAGCATCGGGTGTTTGTGGACGGGAATAGGGATAGGGTTTCGGTGCCCGTTTTCGCGAACCCGTCTGCGGATGCTGTGATTGGCCCGTTACCGGAAGTGATGGAGGATGGGGAGAAGCCGGTGTATAGACGACTTGTTTACTCGGATTATTTGGGTTATTTCTTTAGTAAAGGGCATGACGGCAAACGGACGATTGATTTCGCAAGGGTGTGATGATTTGCTTTTTTGTTTCTTGTGTTGTAATGTTGGTGTCCAGGACAAAACCTTTCTTTTTATGTGTGATATTGTGTGTTTGGTCATATGGTAGAGCTGCCTGAATTTGTGGTGGTGTGTTGCCAGCTTTTGCGACCGTTAGTTTGTGAGGAAGGTTTGATGCGAGTAAAGATTGGATTGGTGTTGTATCTCATTTGTATTGTGTTATTTACATTTCTTGCCAACTGCCTGTATCTCATTTGTATTGTGTTATTTACATTTCTTGCCAACTGCCTGTTTTTAAGTTTTTCGTCGACCTTGACCCGAATATCTAGACGGAAACAGATTTTTTCTTCTTTAACCGTTTGAAGATTATTCATGATCTGATTTTGGGAAGGCTCTTTTAAGAACTTTTATATATATTTAACATCAATGAGCAATCGTCAAAGGGGATGTAGCTCAAATGGTTTGTTTGTGCTTTATGAACTGGACCATTAATGGAATTATCCAAAAATCAGGGGTAGTTTTTCTAAATAAATCCCTTCCTATGGTGGGAAGGAACATGTTCACAAACCTAAAAAACAACAAGTCATTTTCATTAGCTCTGATGAAGAAGTATTAAATCGTAAGAAAATCGAATTAAACATCACAGAAGCCCCACAAAACTCTCACTGGTATATATCCATATTACTAGAAGTGAGCACGGTATGACATGTTTATTTATTGATTTCACTTAATTACTATGTTTCCTGCAGCTACAACAACTCTTCTGTCAACTTGAGATTGTGGCTTAAGTTGATATTTATTCAGATTTCAGTACCTTCGTGTGCTTTTAGCTTTAGCTAATGAAGTTTGTTAGTTCGATATCGTTTCATACATATCCTCCACATTTTTTATTGGTTTAGTTTATTTATGACATAAATGACACATTTCACTCTGCAAAATTTTTCACCAAACCAAAAAAAAAAAAAAAAAAAAAAAATTCCCATCTGAGGAATTTGATTTCAGATATAAGTTACAACATCCTTTTTAGATTCACAGTGATGATTCCACTCATTAGACAACAACACATTTCATTCTACTTTCCTGAACATAACAAAAACATAACACACGTTTAGAACCATGAAACCATATAACACGACAACTGCAACACATTTCATTCTACTTTTTCGACTGCATTCACCTTCACCTTAGCGCCACAGCATCCCCCTTTCTCCGGGCCCTTCAGCGCCGCAATCGGGCCGGGCCCACCCCTCCTCTCCAAGAACTCCGAATTCTCCTTCCAAACCTCCCCATTCGCGTACACCTCTTTCTTCCATATCGGCACCGAAGCCTTCACCTCGTTGATCACAAACTTACACGCGTCGAGTGAGTCCGACCGGTGCACGGATGAGACTGCAACAAACACACTCACCTCCCCAACTGGGACTGGGCCCACACGGTGGGCCACAACCATCGAGTGTAGGGCCCACGAAGCCCTAGCCGAAGTGCATATTGATTTGATGCAACGTATGGCCATGGGAATGTACGCCTCGTACCTCAGCTCTAAGACGGTCTTTCCGTCAAACGTGTCGCGAGTCGTGCCGAAAAAAGTCGCGATGGCCCCACATTGTGGGGATTGGACGAAATCTATGTACTTGTTCGTGTCTATGGGGGTATTTTCGTCCAATATCTCGATTAAGTTATTTTCGTTGTCCGTCATTGGTTTTGGGGTCGCCAAAGACGGTCGCTGGGTTCAATGCAGATAAACCGTCAACTTTTGAAGTACAAAAGGGAAGATCGAATTCTATGCAATACTAATGTTTTGCAATTTTTAGATTGGTCAAATTTGTGTGGTGTGTTGATAGATAGATAGTCCACATGAAAAACAACTCGAGCTCGGTTTTTACTGAATGAGCTTGTAAAGCATAAATTGGTTGGTAAAAAAGATGATCTTGATTAATATTTGTTACACTTCTCATTACTCCAATGAGTTTTTACATAGATCATAGATCTGTAAATGAACAATAAAAATCAAGGTATAAGAGAGCAAACATCTATGTATGTCAACAACTTTAAATCATTTCAACCTACACAAACACAGTACAAATTTTAATTACACACAACAACTGACACAAGTAGATGTTTATTTGCTTACAAGGAGTAAATTATGTGACACTGAATCATATTTCCAGACATCAATAGCGGGAAAATCAATCATGATATAGCATTTAGGTCGAATAAAATGAAAAGTCAAGGGCTAAAAATGTTAGTTTTATGTGAAACAAACACTCAAACACAATAAATGCATTCACTTTCACGCAAACAATCCACAAATAAGCACTCAGTTCATATATGTCACCAAGATAAAAAAATCCTGCAGCCAAAGCCAAAAGGTACAAAGTGAATCTTGATTCATATACGATGATTTTTTTCATTTAAAGAGTCCCCCACCATCAAATTCCAGAACCCTTTTCCCAATCAGGTCTGTAGCTATACAAACATAACATATAAATTGGAACTGTGAGGGTTTAACACTATCAATTGAAATTCAGGAACGTGGACTGAACGAGATGAGAAGAAAACAATCAACTACAAATGGCCTACAACGAAACTAAGCATTTGTGTGGGTGAGTGTGAGAGAGATAGAAAGTGATTCCGACACAGCTAACCTGTGCAAGATTAAGCCCGATGCACCTGGTGCTACTTTCAGAGATTTGTGGTGGCTGATTTATTAGATTGAAGACTAATGAGTCTGAGACCTTATTCCACACTAGTTTTAACCATGGTTGTCAGAACCGGACCGGACCGGCCGGTTCGACTGGTTCAACCGAGAACCGGACATCTTACCGGTCCGGTCCTTTGGTAAAACCCGGATTGGTCAAAAACCATCATTAACCGAAAGAACCGGTCAAGAACCTGTTGAACCGGTGAACCGTTACCGGTTCCGGCGGTTTGCCGGGTTGAGAAAAAACCTCAGTTCCAGAATAACCAAAGAAAAAATAACGAAAAAAATAAGAGTTGAAGAACAATTTTATGAATTCGATCGAGTGGACAACAAGATATTTGCTCTTGTTTTGATCTGGAAGACGAATTCTCGATTAGATCTGGAAGACAAATTCTCGATCCAAATTTTGACTTTTGAAATAGGGTGGAAAATATTTGCTCGTCTTGTTGCGGTAGTCTGCAAGAAGTTGGAAGAACCGAAGAAGAGAATTAGACAGAGGGCGAGAATAGCATTGAAGCGAGAATCGGTAGTCGGCGAGCGGATCTACTTTTTATGTTTCTAGATTCTAATGAGCACAATATTTAAGAATTTGGTTGCTTGCTTTCACAGGCTTAATGTGGATCTGCTTTTTGTGCTTATTATTTATTTTTCTATCCTTTAAAACGTAAAACTGCTTTTTGTGCTTGTTATTTATTTTTCTATCCTCTAAACTTAATGAATTTTTAGTCATGTACTATTTTCGAGGTAATGATTTATTTGTAGTGTATTAAATTTTTATCTACTTAATGGGCTTAAGGAATTTGGTCATTACCATTTTGAAGAAATAATATATTTGTATTATATTAATTGTGTTTCTTATATCTATTTTTTATGCCATATAAAATATTTTACAATATATATTATATTTGTTTAATCTCATATTCTTTAATTATAATGAATATTTATAAATTATTTATGAATGTATTAAAGTATTTAAATATTTTAAATTGTCTAAATACTTAATTAGTTATATTTTTATATAAAGCATTTAATATATATAATATTATATGTATTTTAAAATATTAATATATTAAATACCGGTTCAACCACTGGTCCGACCAGTAAACCATTAAACCAGTAGCTCGACCGGTTCGATGACCGGTCCGGTTCTGACAACCTAGGTTTTAACCCGCACGGAAAACAATACAATAAAGAAGAGATTAATAAAAACACATACGAATAGAAATTAATAACTTAATCACTAAAAATAATGATTTAAGTAAGTGAGTCACTAAAAACAATGATTTAAGTAAGTGAATTTAATTATTATTAAACACTTCTTTATATATATAATATTTGTAGTTGTAACACCCCGCTCATCAGAGTAAACTTTTTTTAACTTTTACTTCGAAAATACTTATAACTCTTTCGAAATATTTTGCGACTAACTCGAGATGTTACTCAAACTCATCTTCTTGAAAATACTTATAATTCTTTAAATAAACAATTTAAACTTATAAACTTAATTAATCATAAACTATTTTATGATTAACTTGTATACTCATCAAAAACATAATTAATCATAAAAAATGGCCTCTGGTTGAGATCACAATCGGATTCTGAATGATCATACCTTACTGTCGGTCACACCACTCGTGTGGCTTGTCACACGACTCATGTGACCCCACACGACTCGTGTGGCTATGTCACACGACTCGTGTGACTCCACACGACTCGTGTGGCTTGTCACACGACTCGTGTGACTCCACACGACTCGTGTGAAAAAGTCGAAGCTAACTTTCAACTCCTCGTCCTCCCACACGACTCGTGTGCCTTGTCACACGACTCGTGTGGCTCATTCCACACGACTCGTGTGGCTCATTCCTTGAAAAACTCTTAATTTCGAACTTATAACTGAATACTGGTCTCGAAATTAATCAACTCTTGGAACAATAACTGATACTTTCTAATAATAACTGAGAGGGATATTACATTCTACCCCCCTTAAAACTATTTCCGCCCTCGGAAATACTGAAACTGAGATATATACCAACTATGTATATATATCATAACTCGAAATCTAAAAAATGAGTGCTAATATCAAATTCTCACTCTCCAGTGGCATCTAACTCTATATGTGGCGATTCCATTTATACTAACGAGGGAATATCTCAATTCCTCAGCCAATGAACCTTCTGGTCCAAAACTTCTATCGACTGGTTCTCGTAGGTTGAATCTTACTGAAACTCATTGTGCCAAAGCACATACTCTGGATCGCATACATACTTAAGTAACATTGTTACTTAAAAATTTATGCATACTGGATAAAAGTTTGAGAAGAGTGTGCACACTCTGGTCGCGTACATACTATTCCCCCGCTGGATGATAACGAATGTCAATATACTTAAGTAAAAGGGACTTGTATGGTTCTCCCATTGTGCTTTAAGTTGCGGAACTATGGGTTGATTGCTGTCACAACACGTGAATCAAAATACTGTGCAAAAAAATTGAATTAACAACAAATTGAAAAATTTTCATTGAAATAAACAAATGGAAATCAAAAAGAATGGTCGTCTAGAATCTAGATGTAAGAATGTTATGCCAGCATATCTACAACACCAAATTAAATATTAAGTATTCAAAAAAAGATCAAAATGCAAAAGTTCATTCAGGAATTGGTATTTATCACCATTAATGAGTATTCCTTTCACAGTGCTAGGGTGGTATTTATCACCATTAATGAATATTCCTTTCACAGTGCTAGGGTGTCACTACGCTTCCAAAGAGAGGAGAACCAGATGAGCAATCCTTAAGGTAAGGAGTGCTCACGGAGCTAGCGGCTGAAGAAGGCTTCCATGTAGCCAGCCTTCTAAAAGCCAGAACTGTAGCTAAACCCAGGTCCACTCTCTTGAAAGGGTGGATATTGAGGACAACTAAAAGCCTAAAAGCTTTCCCCAGAAGCTCCCACACATTTTCTTTTTCTTCTATGACTGGAGTGTTCTGTTAAATGCTTACACATAATTACTGCATATCCCTCTCTATATTAATAAGCGGCGGTTTGGGGGTTTCTTTTGCTGACACGTGGCGTAGTCCGCAACTTTTCCTATTTTCTTATTTCCATCTGTTCCCTATGGCCCAAAAACTTTTAATGTTGGGCTGTGTTTTTCCAATTAAAAGGCCCAGTTTTTCATTATGCGGGCTAGGGTTTTGGGGTGTTCGCGTGCAGCCAGAGCGGCGCCGTGTAGCCATCTTCCCTATCTGATTTCCCGGTGCTCCACACCACACGGAGGTTGGAGACGAGCTTCAGGGCCTTCAGCGGGTCATGCTCCCACGCGAACTTTAGGCGCTCGGTCAGGGTCTCGGACAGCGTGTCGGGGATGACATGGAAGAAGAAATCAAGACAGGGATTCCCCTTCAGAGGAAGGTCGGCGAGAAATTATCCGTCAGAGATAGACGAGTTCCCACCCGTGGAGAAGGTCGGCGAACAGTACCTGTGACCGGCGGTAACCGGTAGCTTTTGGACGGATGGCGGCAGCGCGACTACCCGGCGGGGCAGCCCGCGACTCAAATTGACGGGGCAGCATCAGAGATTAGGTGCTTGTGGATTTTCTCTTCAATTTAATTTTTTTATCTTTTTGTATAGCTGAACAAATTCTAGTGCTTCTTCTATTAGTGAAGTTTCTAGAAAAAAAAAAAAAAATCAAACGGCGCAATGCACCTTGGGTCGCTACGGAAACAGCCTCCTTGTATAATTACAAGGGTAAGGTTTACGTACAACTGACCCCCCAGACCCCAACTTGTTGGGAATATACTGGGTATGTTGTTGTTGTTGTTGTTGTTGTTGTTGTTTGTATAGCTGAACAAGTTTTTTTAAGAGGGTAAAAATTGATTTCTTCTTAGGAAACCCTACCACGTCACCTCGGAGGCCCTGTCACTGTAGGAAGTGGACAATGCCTCCAGCACGTAGGGTTTGTTTCTCCACCTATAATATTTGATTCGTCTAACGTCGTTTATAGCGAAAGCAAAGAAAGCAACTTGAAATCGGACCACTAAGTTTGATCTGAATGTTACCATATTGCACTTCACTTTAATTTTTTTATTCTTATTTTTATTTTATTTTTTCATATTGGAACAGTAAGTCAGCTGTGTTCCTTGCGAGGTAAGAATGGTTCAGATAAAGCAACAATTTTTTATCAAAAATTCTAAATGTGTCGGAGAATTTGCCGAGGTGGATTGTCTCTTGTTGCTCCGCCTAATACTTATTATTGTTCTTAAGGTATGTGTACCCATCTGATTCTTATGTGTGCAGCTCTAATTTTTACCGTCGTTAGGATCAGTTTATGTCTCAGATTTTGTGTTGTTTTTTATCCATAAAAAAAAAAACCCAAATTCTAGAGTCCTCTGTAGATTTTTGGTTAACATTTTAGAAATTTCATACTCATGTAATTGTTTCGTTATTGTCATGCTCAAGGCTGTGCATTAAGCTGTTGGGCTATTCTTCACCATTTTTTGTCTCTAGTCCATGGGTGTGTTTATGTTAATATCTCAAAAATTATATGATATCAAAGTGTATAAGGTATTCGAGCATAGTTCAGAAATTACTCACATGATGAGCAAACCAGTTGAGAACTTATTAGCAGTAGTATAATAAGAGGACATTTAAGTCTATTGATTTGTCTCTTCAAATCTCGAAACATCTTATTAATGGATAATCTATTTGGAATCTTAAGAGGACATCTTATTTATTGCAGGTCGCCCGACATACTAATGTTGTTACTGTAGACCTGTGGTGACAGGGATTGTTAGATGTGCAAGTTTGAAGGTAAATTTCGACATTTTGGTGTGTAATTTATACATATTTCTCCAGTGGCTTAATTTTTCTAGATTATTAATGGATAATATTTGGAATGTAATATTAAAGTTTGGCAATTTAGCTTACGGTGGCCACCATAACAGCTAGAAAAGTCATAGCCTTGGCCAATAAAGAGACACTAATTGCTAGAGGGCATTTTGTCCTTCCTCTAGCACACAAGCACAAAGCCAAGATTCTTCTTACAGATTCTGAATATTTAGCTATATTTCAGGTACGTATAAATTCTAATATAGTGCATCCGTATAAATTCTAATATGAAATTGTTCTTTATCATCGTGTAGTTTTTATAAGTTTTAGTGTATACAAGGCTTTTGCCCAAAGGTGCTCTGAGGCACATAATTTTGACGGCATCACGAGGAACTTTCCGGTTAGGTAATTTTTTGAGATTTTTTGAATTAAAAATTATATAATTGGTATGGAAGGTGCATAGATTAACTCTCATGTGGATATAAAAGTTAGAAGGATTTATTGCTTTCTTGAGTCTAATTACGTGTCTTTAATTCTTTATATGGGATTGAGCTGCATCTGGTGAAAATATTTTTCTTTCTTATATGTATGCACTCTTTTTATTTTCTTTGTAGTATATATGATTAAATTTTGCTAAATCAAAGTGTAGATTGGGATAGGGATTTGTAAATTGATAAATTTAAAGATGTATTGCAGATGTTTTAAAGCATCCCAATTGGGATATGGGGAAACAGATTAAGGCCGACTCTGACTCTGCTACATTCATAATAATAATAATAAAAATATTGAAATTAATTGCATATTGCACGATCTTTTCTTTTTTGGTTTTAATGTGGATAATTCATGTGGTTTTGATAGGGTTTCGAAGTTAAAGAAGCTCACTATCTTTTTGTAGCCGAATATGATGATATTAAGATTGTTGGATTAGATCACGGGGTGGAAGATGACGCATAGTTCAACTCATTAGCTTGGTAGCCACACGATTTCGGCCGAAGAACAACTTTAGAAACTATTTAATTTGTCGTGGTTATTTTTCTACTCAATTTGAACATTGCCGTGGGCCGGCTGTGCATCGCACATCCGATAGGCTCCTAGTATTTATATATATATAGATGTACATATGCGCATATGTGCATATATTTGTATATGTAGATGTACATATGTGTATAATCCTAATATCCCAAAACCCTATTAACATGTACTTATGTGCATATATTCATATGTATAGATGTATTCGGTAAAAGGTAACAAAAAAAGACTTCCTCATAAGAAATAAAGAAGATGTGTAATCTCATCGGACCAAGCCCTAACCAACGATAAAAGAAGGTTTCTTTCATTATCGTTGGACAAAAATAAAATAAATTGCAGAACTCTCACAAAAATTGAATTCTAAACCAGAAAAAAAAAAAA